GTATTCGGAGGCAACCTGGACAAGCACACGGAGAGGAGACACTACCTCAACACGCCCTTCAAAGCTCGCTACATTCGCCTCCACCCACGGCGCTGGCACAGGGCGATAGCGGTGCGGGCGGCCCTGTTAGGGTGCCCGCATAAGGGCGACTGCGGCCCTGGGTTCTTCAGGGTGACACCGGATACCAGTTGCAGTGAGTATTGTTATTGTTTTTGTTGTTGTTGTTTTTGGTGTTGTTGTTGTTGTTCTTGTTGTTGTTTTTGTTTTTGTTTTTGGTGTATTTGTGACGATCTTCTATTTTTTTGTTTATTTATTTAGTTTCTTTTTTTGTAATTTTAGCTTATATGATTTATGTTATTTTTATCATTGTTGTTTTTGTTGTTATTATCATCCTTCTTATTTTTATGCATGTTCTTATTAACATTGTTATTGTTTTAATATCATTGTCAGCATTGCTATTATTATTATTATTATTATTATTATTATTATTATTATTATTACTATTATAATTATTATTATTATTATTATTATTATTATTATCATCATCATTATTATCATTGTAGTTGTTGTTGTTCTTATTGATATTATTAGTGTTAATATTATCATCATTATCACTGTCAATTTTATGTTTTTCAAATCCTTGATTTCTATTTTTTTCATATCTATTATTATTAACATTTTTGTCTGTGATTATATGGTTTCTCTATATTCCTATGTTCATATATATATATATATATATATATATATATATATATATATATATATATATATATATGTATGTATGTATGTATGTATGTATGTATGTATGTATATGTATATATATTTATGTCATTAGTTTCGGATTTTAAACAAATATATTTTGATTCGTTTCGGATTTTCAGATACTGTTGATAGGTAAAATTTAATTTTGACTGAAATTGAAATTTTAAAGTATTGCTCTCTCTCTCTCTCTCTCTCTCTCTCTCTCTCTCTCTCTCTCTCTCTCTCTCTCTCTCTCTCTCTCTCTCTCTCTCTCTCTCTCTCTCCCTCCCTCCTCTTTCCCGCCCTCCCTCCTTCCCTCCTTCCCTTCTATCTCTCTCTCTCCCTTTCTCCCTCTCTCTCTCTCCCTCCTCTTTCCCTCCTTCCCTCCTTCCCTTCTTCCTCTCTCTCACCCTCCCTCCTTTCTCTCCCTCCTCTCTATGATAAAAATAACATAGACGCCCTCTATCCCCAAGACACAAAAAATATCAGACGTCCACCTGCACCGTGGATGAAAGAAGACGTTAAAGGGAGCCATAAGTGACAGAAATAATACGCACAGGGCTGTCAAAGGGGAACGGATTTGACAACGCCCTTCCGGAGGAGGAGGAGGAGGGAGGGGAGGGAGGGGGAGGGAGGGAGAGGGAGTGGGGAGGGAGAGGGAGAGGGATAGTGGGGGAGAGGGAGGGAGGGAAGGAGGGGAGGGAGAGGGAGGGAGGGAAGAAGGGGAGGGAGAGGGGAGGGAGGGAAGGAGGGGAAAGTGGGAGAGAGGGAAAGTGGGGGAGAGGGGAGGGAGGGAAGGAGGGAAAGTGGGGGAGAGGGAGGGAGGGAAAGTTGGGGAGAGTTAGGGAGGGGGGGGGGAAGTAGGGGAGAGTTAGGGAGGGAGGAGGGGGGAGGGAAGAAGAGGCAGAGTGAAAGATAGAGGGAGAGGAAGGGAGACAGAGAGAATGAGGGAAGGAGTTTTCATACCAACATGATGCGTATGTCATACCGCTGGTATGACATATGCATCACGTCCACTGTAATTTTAGTTTATTAATTGTGTTTATACAAAGTTCGTTATTAGTCCTGTGTATCTCACTTGTTAACCTTTCTTTGTTTTACTTGATTTTCGGAAAGATTTTTTTTAGGGGTATTAGAATTTTAATATCATTATAAAAATCAAAATGACAATGATAAAAACTATCGATACTAATATCATTAGAAACAATCCAATCAAATTCGAGGAAATCATTAATCAGGCGCGGTTGCAGCGGCTTATTAATTGCCTCCTTGATGGCTGAGCACTCGTGGAGCCATCTGTGGGCAATAAAACTCACGAAAAAACTACAGGAGACGAGTACCCGCGGTCGTTGGGCTAATCCCTCAGAGAAAGAGCAACATAGCAGTTAAAAACACTTCAGAACTCATAACTTTTAATCAAAATATAACGGGGATTCAGGTGTAGGCTCTCCAGCGAAACTGTAATTGTAAATCATAAACGAAATTGATTGTAAACAAGGAATTACCTGATGAAACGTTTGTACATCAGGTGATTTATCGAAAGACATTGATAGTTAGGAAATTAGGAAATGCATGCCCAGTGGTTCAGAAATGACTTTATTTAGTCAGAACTCGTGGATTTAGATAATTTAATCAACCAATCACCGAAGCAGTCAACCCTATACGGTGTTCCCCATGGCTCTATACTAGGCCCTATCCTATTATCTGTATACATAAATGATCTATTAACAATTACCAGAATCTTCCGTCATAATTTTTTCTCGTTACCACTGTGAGGATATTGAGTGATTGATAATGGAGGCATAGATTCACTTATACCAAAATAAGTCCGTGTAGAAGCCAACAAACATTGCTACAATACCGACATAGAATAAAACTAGCGATAGTCGTAATAATAGTGCTTGTGATAATAATGAGGATGATGATGATGGTAATGATAATAATAATTATGATAATAATAATAATAATAATAATAATAATAATAATGATAAAACCCCTTCTGAAACAAAACATCTGCTGCCCAAACCATTAGGTAGCCTTAATTAATTCACCCATATCCGACTTCACAAATATATATACATACACACACACACACACGCACACACACATATATATATGTGTGTGTGTGTGTGTGTGTATGTATGTATGTATATATAGTCGAAAGTCCTATAGACATGTAATGCATACTCATCCATAAAGTTAAGGGGATGATCTTTAGTGGTTGTTATTGCCTCGACAAGCTGCGTCCCTTGCAACAGATGTTCAAGCAAGTCGAGAGAACTTTTTCAATGTCGGAAGGCCATAAAGTCCTCTCCTCCGGGACCAACTGCCCCGAGATATTAAAAGGAATTCCAGCTTGAAGCCTTTCAAATTAGAATTAGAAGTTCAGTTATATAGTTTTTTTGTTGTTGTTTTTTTGTTTGTTTTTGTTGTTTTTTTTTCTTGTGACCATACTGTATTTACGAAATTATTTATATGTATTATTTTTTATGGGAATCTCGTTTCACTGTGCTATGCAGTTTATCTTTTTTATCCAGTTGATTAGGAGGTTGGATATGCTGTCTACTTATCTGAATATTTTTGCTATTTCTGTTGTTACTTCCTTTTCTCTCTCTCTCTCTCTCTCTCTCTCTCTCTCTCTCTCTCTCTCTCTCTCTCTCTCTCTCTCTCTCTCTCTCGCTCTACCTCCCTCCTTCCTTCCTTCTCTCCCTCTCACCCTCTCTCTCTCTCTTCTCTCTCTCTCTCTCTCTCTCTCTCTCTCTCTCTCTCTCTCTCTCTCTCTCTCTCTCTCTCTCTCTCTCTCTCCTTCCTTCCTTCTCTCCCTCTCACCCTCTCTCTCTCTCGCTCTAACCTCCCTCTCTCCCTCTCTCTCTCTCTCTCATCTCTCTCTCTCTCTCTCTCTCTCTCTCTCTCTCATTCTCTCTCTCTCTCTCTCTCTCTCTCTCTCTTTCTCTCCCTCCCTCCTTCCTTCCCTCCTTCCCTCCCTCCCTTCTTCCCTCCTTCCCTCCCCTCTCTCTCTCTCTCTTTCTCTCTCTCTCGCTCTCCCTCCTTCTCTCTCTCTCTCTCCCTCCCTCCCTCCCTCCCTCCCTCCCTCCCCCCCTTCTCTCTCTCTCTCTCTCTCTCTCTCTCTCTCTCTCTCTCTCTCTCTCTGTCTCTCTCTCATCCTCCCTCCCTCCCTCCCTCTCTCTCTCACTCTCTCTCTCTTCCCTTCTCTCTCTCTTCCCCTCCCTCTCTCTCTCCCTCCTTCCCTCACTCCCTCCTTCCCTCACTCCCTCTCCCTCTCTTTCTCTCTCTCTCTCTCTCTCTCTCTCTCTCTTTCTCTCTCTCTCTCACTCTCTTTCTCTCTCACTTTTTCTTTCTTTCTTCCTTTCTCTCTCCCTCCTTCTCTCTCTCTCTCTCTCTCGCTCTCTCTCTCTCTCTTTCTTTTTTTCTTTCTTTCTTTCTCTCAACCCCCTGATATATCAGTCCATCTGCTCCCCCCTCTTCTCTCATTCCCTTTCTCTCTCTCTCTCTCTCCTTCCCTCCCAATTGCCATATATCTCGCAGAACACGTATAGATAAAATTCTAACGCCCTTTTCTCTTAAGGGCAGTGCCATAAATCTCCCGCAAAGGTCATTTCTCTCTTTCCCATAGTTACAAAAAAAAAAAGATTAATTTCCAAGTCTTGAAATCTGACCTTACGCGCTGCATAATTTTAACACCCACTTCACGCATCACGTTTTCTTTCTTCGTTCCCATTCGCGGGGTAACTAATCCAAATAGAAATGACGAACGGCGAGACACACACGCAAGTTTATAGTCGCACTTGACCTCGGGGTCGGCGCCAGGGTATTTCAGCACTGTGGGCATTGCAGGTCCTCCCCTCAAAAGCGTTTTTGATATGGTAATTCTCTAAGATTATTCGAATAATTGTTGTATGTCCAATTCGAATACGCTAGTGTGTGTGTGAGTGTGTGTTTGTTTGTGTGTTTGTGTTAGTGTGTGTGTTTGTGTTTGTGTGTGTGTCTGTGTGTGTGTGAGTGAGTGTGTGTGTGTGAGTGTGTGTGTGTGTGTCTGTGTCTGTGTATGTATGAATGTGTGTGTGTGTGTCTGTGTCTGTGTATGTATGAATGTGTGTGTGTGTGTGTGTGTCTGTGTCTGTGTATGTACGAATGTGTGTGTGTGTGTTGCTCTGGTTACGTTCAGGAATTTTGTCGAAGTTGTTGAGGATTTGTGCGGCGTCTTCAGATTCTGTTGCGCTGGGCGATCGTCTAATTTGCCCAGCGGGTTGCGCGGACCATACTGTGCGCAATCAAATTCACAAAAAGATAAATAAATAAATACAATGGAGAGTGCATGTACTCGCAGCAGTCGGGCGAACTTCTCGGGGAAAGAGCAGCATATCAATTAAGAACGCAAGTACACACACACACGCATATATATATTTATATTTATATATATATATATATATA